TGGTGGTGTTGACGGCGGCAGTTGATAGTGATATGATAGTAATAAATATATAAAACTCTGTAAAAATATTCGAGCATATGCAGGGTTATAATCAAGGGGTTTTACACCTCTAATCTATTGTAATTGGTAACGGATTACAGTGATTTTTCAGAGGATTTTCCCTGTAAAAACCAGGTTTTTACAGATGATTATTACATATATTACATATTATTGCAGATGATTTTGAGGATTATAGGGGTGATTTTCTCAAAGGACATAAAACAAACAAAAAATAAAGTACTTCATGACAGGTTCAAACAAAGTATTAATTGAATACTTCGAAAGAAAATAATTATTAAAACAGATAAAGTATCATTTTTATTGATCATATTATTTATTATTAGTGCATTACTTCAGCCATCGCCAATATCATTCTCGTCATCGAGGATTAGCATAGAACGTACGTTTTTGTGGCTTGTTTAATATTTATTTATACAATCAATAGAATAACCTTGATAACCGGATTTTAGAGTAGAAATAAATGGAACATCATATCGATATGGAAAAAGTATAAAGCTGAAGCATAAAAAAGAATCGGATCATACTGGTTTTTATTGTTTTATAGAATTCTTCAGCCGAAACTCTGATATAACCTTTTCCAAACAAAAAATAACCACAGTTACGTATCTATAAAAACGTTCGATCATTCGTATTACCATCCCCTTTGATATACTTCGGCCGAACCTTTTGCGCCTTTTGCGCATGCATAAGATTTCTCCAAGGAGCAATACGTCTTATCAATCTATAGTAAAATAGTGTCAAATTAAAGACTTGTACATGTATTGCAAGACTTAATCAAGATGTGACATTACGGGATACAGTATATACTTAATCAAGATGAGATACAATATATACTTTTGCAATAATTTGGGTGGAAAAATTAAAAAAGTTAAATAATGAATAAATAAAATGACAAGAAAAGAGTAAGCATAAAAATTAAAATTTTAAAAAAATTACGAAAAAGTGTTATATACATGTACATGTATACAGGTGTACATGTACGTGTACATGCAACACGTAAATGGCTAATGCCAACGCTAATGCAATTCAACAGTAATGCAACTCAACGATAATGCAAAACTTCTTTAAATAATCGTCTGCGTTGCATGGACGTAGTTTAGCATTTTTTTTGTCTCACTAGTTTATTATTCTCGTACACATAATTTGAAATTATCTTCGAAAAAGCTAGAGATTATCGGCAGGTTAATTCATATACGTGTACAGCATTAAGTATTAATATCAAAGATGGATGGGTCCCTAAACTATTTTGAAGCACTTAAACGGGACAAGTTTAAGTTTTATAATATTCCCTATAATGAGGTAAAAATGTTCGCTATACTCAAATAGTTTTAATATTGAGCTTCAGACACGAAAAAATTTTGAGTAAATAATTTCGGACTAGTCTGTTTGAGAGGGTTTCGGGACCCATTTTTAATTAATAAACGGGTCAGCTCATTATCTCTAAGCAAGAAAATATTAATATTAAAGATAAAATCTTTTTAATAAAAATATTATGTTATACAAATGTAAATGATAAAGTAACAGTGTCATTTTTTTATACGTATTTTTATTGGGTTATCTTAAAAATATACAGTACATGTGATTAATGGCACTCATACTTTTAGATAAAATTACCATTTTAAATTCAAATATTGTTATAAATAGATTTGTTTTTAAATAATTTAGCAAGAAACTCCAATAATATAGCTTAAAAGAAATCAGACTCATCGTTATAGGTACAAAATGAGACCTCTAGATTATTAGTTCAACATAAATATGTACGGCCGGCCGGGTGCATGCAACGGAAAAAACTTGATTCTCGAAAATCTTTATTACATGCCTATTTATTGTACTTTGAGTTACACGAAATTTCGATCTTATTCTTACAAAGTAAATACGTGTATGCCAATAATTTTCCATCAATGGGGAAAGTTTTGTGGCTAGGCTAGTACGTTAATTTCGATCAGCATTACGTATTTATATTTATGCATGAATTTTTAGTGTTTTTTGGTTCCACGACTGCCCTTTTGTCTTTGCTTTTTGCTTATGTGTCGGTATGCACGAAATTTCATCACAGAGACATGATCGGCCGAATATCTTGATATTTTTGTTTTCTGAATGATCATGGGGGTAAATAGCGTGGGACTAGAACACGAACTTTGTACAATATGTAAAACATATAAAAAAATTAATTGTGCCTTTGATAGTAATAAGCAAACGCGAAAAATTAATTACCTTGCATAACAATCGGATATACAAACAACGGTATATAAAATCACCATTTTTTTTGTTTCTTTTAAAAAAAGATATCAATTTTTGTCTGAGTTCTCCGAACAAAATAAAGAACTCGATATTTGTTTTTCATTTAAACAATACTAAACATTAAAACTCGCAACATGTCTCGCCTAATATTACTACCAAAAACAATAATACAACAAATAATTCAAAATACATACACGGAACTCACGCCTCTGAATCTAATAATACTCTTTCTTATAACATTATTCACAAAGTTCCTGTATAACCACTTTTACAATGTTTATTTGAGCCCATTAAGACATATTCCTGGACCAAAATCTAGTGCATTCACTGAACTTCCGATTCGATTGAGACGTCCTTATGGACAAGTGTACGCGTGGTTTCATGAATTACATTCACAATATGGGAGTGTTGTTCGCATCGCCCCTAATTGGGTGATGTTCTCAAATAAAGATGCCCTAAGACAGATTTTGATTGAGGATGTAAGTATTGGTTTTATGAAATTTGCGCACGTTAAAATTCGAAGTTAATCCGAAAATGCTAATTTAATGATTTTGTTCGTAAAATTTTTAGCAATTTCCAAAAAATGAAGCAATAAAAGCTATCCAAGTACACCCTGACATCCCCACTCTCTTCACAGCGACTGACCCAATTTTCCATAAACAACGAAGAAGACTTCTTTCATCCGCTTTCTCAATAAAGTATCTTTCAAATCTAGAACCACTAATAAATCCATGCGTCGAATCACTCGTGAACAAACTCTCCTCGTTATCTTCAAATGACGTTGATTTGAAATCACCAGCAGTCAACATTTATGGGTTTTTACAAGCCTTAGCATTAGATGTTATCGGAGAGACGGCTTTTGGCGGATCATTCCATATTGTAGAGAATGGTAATCATCCATTACCTAGAAAGGTTTTCGAGGAATTTAAACGACGTGTAATATGCGCGACGTTTCCTTTCTTGAGACCTTTTAAGAAACAAGATCCGTGGACTCAAGATTTCACTAATAAAATCATTAAAGAACGACGCGAAATGAATGCTAGAGGAGAAAAACGATCGGATCTTTTACAGACCTTGTTGGATACACGCGACGAGGAAACAGGAGAAGGATTATCAGATTTTGACATTTACGTTCAATCGATGGAATTTGTTATGGCCGGTAGCGATACTACTGCGTTCACAACCTCTATGGCATTGATTCTACTGCTGCATCACCCTGAAAAACTTCATGTTCTCATGACAGAGCTCGGCTCTCTCTCAAATAATAAAATCCCACGTCATGAATCTCTAAAAAATCTCGCATACCTAAACGCAGTCATCAACGAAACAATGCGATTATGGCCTGTCTCAACTAATGGATTTCTTCGAGAAGCACCAAAAGACGTTACAATCAATGGAACATTTATTCCTAAAGGCACTCAGGTCACCGCGTCAATTTACAGTATGCATCACTCTAAGGAAATCTGGGGCGCAGATGTCGAAGAATTCGTCCCGGAACGATGGTTAAATGAGCAAAGTAAGAATCTGAATAAACACTTTTACCCGTTCGGATGTAGTTCGCGAATTTGTATTGCCATGAATTTCGCGTTGATGGAAATTAGAGTTGCGTTATCAGCGCTGTTGGTCAATTTTGAGTTTGATATGGTTAAAGGACAAGATTTGGAGGTGGTTCATTTTATTACGCCGTCATTGAAGGCAAAACGGTTTGACGTGCATGTACGACGGCGAAAAATTTCATTGTAAATTCATTAGCTTTAAATGATAAGGACATTTATATCTTGTATTAATACACGATGGACATTTATTTCGCGCTATTCTATTGTACATGTAACAAAATTTCGTTATGTAAATTTATTCTTTGTAAATTTTCCTTTTTAATTTTTGAATAAATAATAAAAGATATTTATTCACATGAGTTTACTAACGTCTTTCTATAAGTGTGGATAAATCAGAGTTATATACACGTTAACCTCTCTACAGCGACACCATAAATTTTGTTAGAGGTCGACATGTATTAAGAGGTTGATAAATGTAACAAACATACACGTACATGTATGTGTTGAGTGGCAATGTACATGTTCATGTGCATGTACATGTATAACGTTAAATCGCTACGTCCATTTTTTTTTTTTGCTTCTAGTTTACAAAAACTCGATTCCATATACCTTAAGCGTACGAAATCAGGTCTGTTTAATTACACATGCATTGCGTCAAAGTAAATTATAATCATTACCTTATTATCATTTAGTTTACTAAGATACATAGATAGCTCAGCCGAAATCTGCATATAGAATTGCGTTCATAATTAACCCAAAGATCAAAGTTCCAATATCATTTCATCTCGGCCGAAATATTATTGTCATACATGTAACATTGAAAACAAATCAACGATGAATTACTATTCTAAATCCTTGAAACCTTGAAAAGGGAAATTTAACGCTCCGATCTGTTGCAAAGACATGTACGTAGCTTAGTGTTTTCGGTAATAGATATCGATATAAGTGACTCATTACAACCTCACCTTAATACATGTACATGTATAACGAAACCTGTTTGATTCCGCCTTATATCAGTAAAAAACAACAAAGGTATAGTGACTTTTTTTGCTATTTCCGAGTGTTACTACATTACATGTATAGCGGGAGCACCTGTGGAAGGGTAAGCCACAGGAAGATAAAACACATAAATAATTTAGCCAGTGGCTGATTTACTTCAGCAAAAAGAATAAAGGAATAATGTATTATCTAGGCTGCCTAAATTCACAATATCAACATCGATATCGATCGATGTAATTTCTGGTTTTTATTCACTACTACATTTACTACATGTACAAGCAGCAGAAAGATGTTCTTTATATTCCCGTTACATGTACATGTAATAGTGAATTATATAATGCATGATGTACAATCAATAGAATGAAAGAATTTACTCAATTATCCCTACAAGATCAACTTTAACATAAAGGGATATGAAATGTCAATTTCAAACAGTCATAATAAAAGTAGAAAATACAGCAACAAAAAAAATACAAACCAACAATTCTTTTCTCAAGCAAATCAAGTGCTTTCCCAAGTCGCTGCATATTCTGTTGACCGAATTCGTAAAATTCGCAGACAAGCTTGTCCCAATTATCATCAATCGTTGTGTTAATCTCCTCGCTGATTTCTACGGTACGTTGCATCAGTTGTTCGGTTTTGCGCCATTTACGGTACTTTTTCTGGACCTCCACAAGCGAATTTACCATCAATGCGATTCCTCATTTGTTAATTTTACAATCCAAGTGTTTGATTATCAGCGTGTTAGTAAACACGTTTCGGACAAAAGAGATTTGATTTGAAATGAAAGTTGCAATACTTTTCCGATTATCCTTTTGAATTTTTTTATCGTCCGCACGACGACGCATAACCATCCGAAGGATCTCAATGATATGAATGATTTGTGCTTTTCGCAGAGAGAAATTTGCAGTACTGGTTGCTGGATGGTCTTCAAGGGACCGATGATGAATAATTTTTAAGGAATGTTTTAGTTTGGCGTAGCTTGTTTTGGTTCTCGTGCTTTGTTTCTTCATTTTTGTTTCGAGAATATTGAGCTCTTTGAGTTCTACTTTTATTAGAAGCGAAAATATGCTCTGTGATTATAGTCACTCAAACTGATAAATAAAAACTTGACTGATAGATAAGAGCAGAAAAAACTTTAAATTCATGATTAATCATTTTTTATCAGCACATTCTTTAGAATCGATTAATGATTTCTGAAGCAAAGATTATTTAACTATTAAAAATGATTATTCTGATTTACTTTGAGGTCCATAGTCGGAATGTGGTACGTATTCAAAACTCACTACGTAGTTTCATAGCGTCGCAAGCGATTCAGAAGTTAGGTTGAAAGCTAGACTGTTGTTCTTGATAGCACAAACTCCGTGAAGATTGGCACGGGAAGCCCTTAGAACCCTGATGAAACCCTGGAGCAAAGATAAACCATGAATATTTAATTTCAAGGATTTCAAAAATAGTTTTAATTCTAATAACTATCAAGATTTATTAAAATAAAATATCACACAAATAGGTTTACTCCAAATAGAGTTTGGAATGATTATACTTTTAATATTAAAATTCGGGTATAATCCGGATTATGAATTGTTAAAAGTAAAACCGGTTCAAACTCAAAACAATAAAAAAAAATTCAATAACAATAACAAAATCAAATGATCAAATAGTCAAACGAAACAGGCAATTCTTTTTATGGTCAAAGCAATGGAATCTACGATTTTGTTATGGACAAAGAAATATAACTATTGATTTGTTACATTAAAAATTTACATTAATTTACCACTTGTAGGCAGTATAAGAATTAAGACAATTCGATTCTAAATTTACAAAAAAATCGAATTTATAAAATTAAGTCAAAGTATGAGTATATACTTTCAAATTCAAGGATTCAATCAGCTCCCCTGCTCGAACATGATTATTCTCATGAGCTTTTTGATACCATTTTAAAGCCATATCAAGATCTTTTGGAATTCCGAACCCATATAAATAACATTCAGCTCCTTTGAATTGAGAGATATTCAATCCAGATTCAGCAGATCTTAAATACCATTCAAATGCTTTCTCTCGTCTTTTTGAGTTCCAATTCCATTTTCATAATAATAACCAAGATTATATTGTCCATTAACACTCACCTTCTGCTGATTTCAAATACCACTCGAGTGCTTTTTCTCATCTTTCTGTGTTCCACAACCACTTCGATAACAATTACCGAGACTTGACTGTCCATAAATACTACCCTTTGCTGATTTTAAATACCATTCAAATGTTTTTTTCTCATCTTGTTCGAATTCCAATTTTCATAGCACCAACTGAGATTAAATTGTCCTAAAGCGTCTCCACCCTCTGCTGATTTCAAAAACCACTCGAATGCTTTTTGCTCATCTTTTTGCGTTCCAATTCCATTTTGATAGCACAAACTGAGATTATATTATCCACTAAGACTT